AAGGAAACCACTAAATGTTGCTGCTACTTTTCCTTTGCAGCTTAGATAAAACACACACAGTGTGGGAAGGAGCCACTGCCCCTTTGGGGGTGCTGGCTTGTTTCCTGTCTCCTGGATGTGCGTTTAGGGGAGAGAATGATGATCTGCTCATTGTCAGAGTGAATACTGGCCAGTGTAGCCCTTTTCTAAAGGCTTGTTGAGCTACCCAAACAAACAGCATGCCTTTTTTTTTACTCTAAAATTAGAGGAGAAAATAATTGGTTTGAATGGAGAGATTTTTCTTTGTTTCCAAATAGGATACATAGTTTCCCTCAACTTCTACAGCAGACATTTATATGTGGGCAAGATGTAGTCAGATATGGGATGTGGTGGTGGTATTATTAGTTGCTGTCAAGTCGGCTCTAAGTCTTGGCCTCCTCATGTACAACAGAAAAAAAAAATTTCCTGATTCTGTTCCATCTTCACAGTTGCCACTATGCTCAAGCCATTTTTTGGCCACTGTGTGTTTTGAATACTTTCCATCCTGAGGAGACTCATCTTCTTGTATCATATTGGGCAATATTCTGTTGTGATCCATAGGGTTTTCTTTGGCTTATTTTTGGAAACAGTTTCCAGGCCTTTCTTGTCTGACTTAATTTGGAAGCTCTGCTGAAACCTGTCCACTATGGGCGATCCTGCTGGTATCTGAAATACCAATGGCATAGCTTCCAGCATCAGAGAAACATACAAGCCACCACAGTGTGACAAACTGATAGATGGGTGGTGGATGGGTTGTGTACTACGACCCATTGTCTGACTCCTTTTACTTGAAAATCTGCCATAGATGAGTAGAAATCAAGAGTTTTCCTTGTGCCTGGATTTGTCTAAGGGTCATGAGGACTAAAATTTAATACCTTGTGATCGGTAAGTGACTTGGATAGGCACTCATCAGAAGATGATGGGGACATAGTCGATAGCACATTGACAAGGTAATCATGGGCAGCATCTCTGCCCAGCAGGGGATGTCAGCCTTGGGCTCAGGAGATGTCAGTACCTACTATTTGCCAGTTGTCAGGACTTGAACAAGTTGTTAACTCTCTTGAGCCTTGCCTTCCAGGCATGTAAAAGAGAGAGTATGATGGTTAAATGAGTTAGAATGTATGAGACACTAGCATAGAGCCCAGTACAGACTTGGTGGTCAGCAAATGTTGATTTCCTTTCCCAAGTCCCTGGGTGGTGCAAACCATGAATATAGTCAGCTGCTAACCAAAAGGTTGGAGGCTCAGGTTCACCAAGAAGTACTTTGGAAGAAAGGCCTAGCAATCGACTTCTGAAAAATCAGCCATTGAAAGCCCTGTGGAGCACATTTCTGCTCTTCCAAATTAAGATGTGCCGTGAATAAATGTTCTCCCCTTGGTGATCATGATTTGTACCATGATCATGACTTGACTGCCTATTTAGAAACAACCCTCCCTTCAAGACGGTATTTATTCATGTTCATCCTGTTGGGTAAAACATTTCCTCACTGGCCCTCTATACACTTGTTAGTAAATCAGTTTTTAGGGTGGTGTTGGAACCTGAAGTGGATGGGATGACTTTTAAATAGCAGTATTTTATGGTATTAAAATAGTTTTGCTTCCGTTTCTAAGAATGAGTCTGGTTTCACCACTTACTCTCTTTGGGATCCGAAAGTCCAAACCCATTGCCAGTCGAGTTGATTGCGACTCGTAGTGACCATTTGGGACAGAGTAGAACTGCCCCATAGGATTTCCAAAGTGGTAAATCTTTATGGAAGCAGACTGCCTCATCTATCTCCTGTGGAGCGGCTGCTGGGTTTGAACCACTGAACTTTTTGGTTAGTAGGCCAATGCTTTAACCACAGCACCACCAGAGTTCCTCAGTTTGGGATAGCACGTAATTTATTTGAGCTTTCCAGCTTCTGTTTCCTTGTCTATATAATGAGGGTAATAAAATATTAGGTCTAGTATTATGAAGGTTAAATAACTGCTACAAAGCAGTCTGTGGAATACAATTGTTGTTATTAGTTATCATCAAGTCGATTCCAACTCATAGAGACCCCATGTGTGCAGAGTAGAATTGCTTCATAGGGTTTTCAAGATTGTGACCTTTTGGAAACAGATCACCAGGCCTGTCTTCTGAGGCATTCCTGGGTATGTTTGAACCACCAGCCTTTCAGCTGGTAGTTGAGGGCTTAACCATTTGCAACACTCAAGGACTCCTTTGGAATGTTGTTGTTGTTGTTGTTATGTGCCATTGAGTCAGACCCAACTCATAGCGACCCCTTCTTGGGTTTCCGAGGCAGTATCACTATGGAAGTAGATTGCCTCACCTTCCTTCCGAGGAGTGGCTGGTGGGTTTGAACCTCCAGCCTTCTGGTTAGCAGTCAGGTGCCTTAGGCACTATGCTACCATAGCTCCCTGGAATACAGTTGGTAGTCAGGAAATGCAGTGTGATTTCTGTCAGTGTCTTCCACCCCCATGAAGAGTAACAACTTGATACTTGGCTTATTTTGACAAGAAGGGTTTAAATCCATAAACTTTAGTCATGATAAGCTTATAAAACAGAATTTATTTGTAAAAACATTAAAATGACATGCATTCACTATTATTAGTACAAACTACAGTCTTTAAATTCTGGTAAGCAAATACATTTGCATCCCAGGTATGTGTTTTGTTCCCAGTAAGGACATGGGTATTAAAGGTCTGTTCCTAAAACCTGGTGTCCCAGAGGATTTTGTGGAAAGGGTTTATCCAGAGTCTACCCTCCACTCCTCTTGAGAGGTCTAGTCTTGTATTTGTGCTGAAGTATTGAATCTATTCCCAGCTGAATGCTTTTCTGAACACAAATACAAATCAGCTGCTAGTCATTTGGGCTCAAAGCCCCAGAGCCATCTGTGCCCTGTGCCCCACCCCACACACCCACAGCTCTGCAGCCACAGGTGCGGCCATGCCTGCCTCCCCTCCCATGCTGCCTGTGCCCTGGCTCAGCCCATCTGTCTCCTAACTGCTGTAGAGCTTTCGAACCTGCTCTCCAAGTGTGTTCCACTGCACAGCCATGTCCCAGTGAGCTCTAAGGAAACACAGGCTTTCAAAACCCAATAAACTTGGGACACAACTACCTCCCTCTCAGGGGCACTTGCAGTAAAAACAGAAACAACAAGCAGAACAAAGCCCCTCTTAACTTTGTTTAACCTGGTGTTCCCACTACTTATTTGATCACAAACTCTTAAACTTAACACCCCCACCCACCCCTCCGAGGGCTGAGATTCATAGAACCAAGCTTGGGGAGTGCTGCTGTAGGCTGTTAGTGGGCTGCCACCTATTTGCTTAGTATTAAAACAAAAAACAACAAAAAAAAAACACTACTATACTCACTGCCATTGTGTCGATTCTGACTCATAGTGACGCCCTTTGGGTTTCCAAGGTGGTAAATCTTTACAGAAGGAGATTGCCCCAGCTTTCTTCTGCAGAGCAGCTGTTGGGTTTGAACTGTGCCAGCCTTCTGGTTACCAATCAAATGCTTTAGGCAAAGTAGACTTGAAGTCAAATATTCATCAGTAAGGATGTCCATTTGGTGTCATTCTGTGTGACATTAAAAATAAGATTCCATGTACTGTCATAGAACCTTCTCGAGGATATATGTTAAGCAAAGTGCAGTATGTGGTGAGCTGCTGTTCTGAGTGCACATGCCAGGTCTGAACAGTTTCCAAAAACTGACAGATATGTCTGCCTCTGGAAAGGGGACTGGGTGTCAGGAGGAAGTGGAAGCAAGCACCTCACCATATACCTCTTGATGCCTTTAGAACTTTCTTCCATTTCAACCATAGCATTAATCTGCTCCAAATTCCACCAGTCTCTCTTTTATGCAGAGATAGTAGGAAGACCTTGGCTTTGCTCTCATGGCCTATGGTTGGCCTCTGCCTACCCAGCCTTCTCTCTCACTCTACTTCCCTGCTGGCCTTCCTCCCTCTCTCTCCTTAGACAAGTGCAAAGCAGTGGAGACTTGACTCAGTGGTGCTGCTTTCCTCTACCACCCCTCAGACTTGGCCTGCTCCTCTTAGAAGCCCTTAGAGCATCTGACTGCAACAGCATTGGGAGCAGCAACCCCTGTGGAATATGTTAGCCCAGAATTCGGTTCTCCTGGATTTACTCCTGCCTCTGACTCTAGCTTTTTGTGAAATGTAGAGACCCAAAGCCCTCATGAAGCTGCAACACCCTGTATGGGAAGGCCAGGAACTCCAGGGTTGGACCAGTGTGACCCAAAGTCCTTATCCATGTGCTCTGGGAAACTTAGCTTAGTACCTTCGTTTTCCTTTTTTGCAAAATGAAGACAAGTCCAGCACACAGGGTTTGGGGGTGTTGCTCATCTTTCTGGAACACCTAGCACAGTGCTCAGTACATGTTGCTGTCTTTCCATCCCTTGTTTCTTAACTACCAACCTTTCTTTTCTTGGATCTTAAAGCCCTTGGGTTTCATAAGGAAGAGTACAAGGTCAGGATTCAGATGTTCATCCTTGACTCCATCAGTGACTAACTCTGGGGAGCTGCCGGAGCCTTCAGTGTCTGGGTCCCCTGTGCCTAACACAGGGATTCATATTTATCTCAATGCAAAAGAGCTTTGATCATCAGAAAGCTATGAATGCAAAGGGTTAGCCTTGCAGCATGAGTGCAGATGTTCTCCTGCCTGCCAACTAGCTATAAGAATATTTGGAAGATGAATAAAATAATATCTTCCATATGCTAAGGAGAAGATGATTTAGCCTCATGCAAGGTAGAGTAGAAAACCCCCCATGTATTAACAGAGTAACCTTGGACAAGACATTAACTGCTCTAGGCTTCAGTTACCTCATCTAAAATATGAGAGTAATAAACTTCTACCTCACAAGGATTGTTGTGAGGATCATATGAGGCAGTTCATGTGGAAGGTCATTGTAAACTGTGAAATGCTCTACAAATGTCAGCTGGCATTAGTGTTAATGTGTGTATTTGTTCATTGTTTCAGCGGAGAGTACAAGACGTCATCAGTCCAATTGTGTTCGAAGCAGCCTACAGCCTCGGGGAGCATGTGACCGGAGAGGAGGAAAGGGAACTGCCCGCTCTAACACCAGTGCTCCGCTGGAAGAAGGGACAAAAGATTGCCCAAAAGAATCAGGTCAGAACCTTGATTTCACACCTGGATCTCAAGAAGGCTGATGTATATGGCAGAAGTAATGGCTCAGAGGTCAAGAGAGCTGGGAGACTGGCTCACTGGGACACCATGGCCAGGTCACACCCTGTCTCTGGATCTGCCATTCATGATCTGTACAATTATGAAATTAATACTCTTGCTTTGGGTCCCTGGGTGGTGGAAGCAATTTGCACTCAGCTACTAACTTAAAGGTTAGCAGTTCAAACCTACCCAGCCGTGCCACAGAAGACAGGTCTGGCCATCTGCTTCTGTAAAGCTCTCAGGCAAGAAAATCTTGTGGAACAGTTCTACTCTGTAAAAAATGGGGTCACCAGGAACTGGAATCAACTCAACTACAGTGGGTTTAGGGTGGCAACTAACTACCACATGATTAAATATTTTGAGACTATTCTCAAGCAGTTAGAAAATGGCTAGCCCTTGAGACTGTGAACTGGCTATTTAGCTCCTGAACTTGGCCCTTGTTCCTAAACTGTTTCCAGAACTTACACCAGGGATTGGTGAGTAATAGTTGCTCAATAAATGCTGGATATGTAGAAAAATGAGGAGGATGAAGAAGCAAGAACCTCGGCTTGCTGAATTGATAATTAAGTTAAAAATACCTAACCCAGCCATCCCTGGAAGCCAGGCCAGGTTGGTGACCCATCCTGTTTGATGCTTACCAGATTCTAAGATGTGCTGGAGGAGCTGTAGAGCAGTGTTTGGTGCAGGCCATACAAGGTAAGTGAGCCTATGCACTGTTTCTGGGCAGCAACACTGGCCTGTCTCTGCCATGAGCAGTCTATGAGATGTGCAGCTATGAGTACTGTGCCAAAAATATGAAAGAAATCCCTGGCCTCTAGTCTGGTTGAAACCCAACATATTCCCAGGTCCAGGACTATAGGGAAGGTCAGGGAAAATGAGGGTTTTTGTTTTGTTTTATTTTTGCCTATACCTGACTCCTGTGAGGGTAGAGTCAAAGCTGTGGCCCCATTCACTCTCCCCACCCTCTGTGGTTCCTCAGACTGCTCTAAATTTGGGGGTTGTCAGCATATGAGTGACCCATGCCTTGCAGATTAGAATTGCAAACTGAACCATACAGAAGTGTTTAGTGTTTGCGAGTCCATCCAGGTATTTAATTAAGTGGTAATATTTTTACCAAGGTGTCCCTGCTTTCTTCCAGAGTGTCTCCCACATCATCTTGGGTCAGGTTCCTTAGAAGCAGAGCTGGGAATTTGAGCATGTAGTCTAATGAGGATGTACTGTTGGGAGAAACCTAAGGAAGTGAGGGAAAGGGCAGGAACAGTACAAGGATGTGGTCTCAGCTCAGGTCTAGCCTTGATCTGATCCATGGGAGACTCTGGGGCATAAATTATGCTAAAGACTTGTCCTCTCCTTGAGGCATGGGGACTGGCCTTTTGCACTCCATATTAGTTAGCCATTGGCTGGCTGCAGCATGTGGAAAGAGAGCATTCAGGAATGAGAGCTCAGGATACAATTCTTCCATCAGGATAGCCACTCCTCGCCCATGCCTTTTTTTGGCCTTGGGCCTCTTGGCTTGGCCTATGTCCTGCTTTGGCAAATGTTGTTGTTGTTGTTGTTATGTGCTGTTGAGTGGGACCCGACTCATAGTGACCCCTCCTTGGGTTTCCGAGGCAGTATCACTACAGAAGTAGATTGCCCCATCTTCCTTCTGAGGCATGGCCAGTGGGTTTGAACTGCCAGCCTTCTGGTTAGCAGTCAAGTGCTCATCTGAAAACAGTTCTCTGGAGAAGGATGTTACAGCAGCACTCACATCAGCAGGGGGCAGGGGTAGTAGTTGTAAGGGGCCAGCAGTACCCAGTATCCAGAAGAAAAAAAAAGCAAACTCACTGCTGTCGGGTCAATTCCAACTCATAATGACCCCTCCTTGGGTTTCTGAGGCAGTATCTCTATGAAGGTAGATCGTTCAGTCTTCCTTCTTCAGAAGAGTGGCTGGTGGGTTTGAACCACCAACCTTCTGGTTAGCAGTCAAATGCCTTAGGCATTATGCCACCAGAGCTCCCAGTATCCACTGTATATATAGCCTGTTGGCAATACTGCATTTCTGGAAGCTTCTTTTGATTTAAAACTTACACTTCTTTCAAGACAGACTCTGTGGGATGAATGGTAAGCCCCCACTGGCTATTAATACTTGGAGCGGACTCTGGGGAAGTGAAAAGAAAAAACTCCAAGACAAGGTTCTAAGTGGGTGGGGAAGAAGCGTTGGGCTTGGGCTTAGGGAGTAGTAAAGAAAGGAAGGATAAGAGGAGAAGAAAATAAAATGAAGAAGAGGGCAGGAGCTGATGGCTTCTACTTTCACTGAGAAGTAGAAATTGATGTTTTCTCCTGACTGAAGTAGGAGGAAGAAGACTGGGTGAGGACTCAGTAAATGGATAATACCTAGATAATTAGTCCTCTATTCCTAGTATTGCTCTGCTTTGTGAGGTGGCATCTTGTTGTCCTGATAAACTCACCCATACCTTGTGTTCTTGGGAGTGGTCCAACTTGGGGTACTGGAAATCATTTCAGGGTACTCTTTGCTTGTTAGGAGCTCTGGTGGCATAATGCCTAAGGCATTTGACTGCTCACCAGAAGCCTGGTGGTTCAAACCCACTAGCCACTCCTTAGAAGGAAGACTGGTTAATCCACTTCCATAGAGATGCTGCCACAGAAACCCAAGGTGGGGTCACTGTGAGTCGAATCCAACTCGATAGCAGTGAGTTTTCTTTGCTTGGTGTATCTTTGAAATGAACCATCTTGATAGTTCTGGGCCTAGATTCCACAAGGAACACAACTCTCATACCTACAAATCTATCAGTGGCAGAAAAGTGGACCTTCCTTAATGAGCAGCATTTTAGAACCTTTAATGACATTTTTAGATTCAGGTAGTCTGCTCAGTGCCAGGGACAGATTACTGTTAAAATGCAGTTCTTGGTCACTTCTGGTTTAAGATTGTCAACAAAGCACAAATGTTTATGTTTGTGCCTTCTAATGCCCCATTAGGAGCTCTGGTAGCGTAGTGCCTAAGGCACTTGACTGCTAACCAGAAGGCTGGCAGTTCAAACCCACCAGCCACTCCTCAGAAGGAAGGTGGGGAAATCTACTTCCATAGTGATACTGCCTTGGAAACCCAAGGAGGGGTCACTATGAGTCAGGTCCGACTCGACGGTACATAACAACAACAACAAATGCCCCATTATGGGAGCTGTGGTAGCATAGTGGCTAAGGCACTTGACTGCTAACCAGAAGGCTGGTGGTTCAAACCCACCAGCCACTCCTTGGAAGGAAGATGGGGCAATC